ACCAACACCAAGTCTGGACTAACAGGGCATGTCAATAACCAACGTTTTGCCCTGCTTACTGAAAATGCAGTTTAAACCTACTGGTAATTTGCAAGCTTGTGTCCCTTTAGTCAACACAAGACCCTCTTGAATTTATATATCCTGAATAGAATTATCCCCAGGAGAAGCTACTATGACTTGAATCCCCTCATCTTTTAACATGAAATGGAGAATGGATGACATTATCCCTTTCTCTCAAAGGGACAGGTTCTCCTGTACAGCTATGAGGATTGTCTAAGAAGCTGTCACTCTGAATGTGTAGGAAATTGAAATTTAGTAAGTTATAAATAGTTGTAAATATAATATCTCACCATGGCTAATACCTGACCAGATGAAGTAATATTAACAATAGGGGTGGCCACAGCTTAACTAGACTGGTGGGTTTTACACTAATTAGGCATCAGACTCCCTACTGCAGACAACTAAGTGGGGACATTAATGTACAGTATATTAGGTTAAGATTGCTCAGTGCTGTTGTTTCACCCTGTGGGTATGACATATTTAGCATATATCTACACTATACAGCAACACAAGATGTTCTATTAACAATAGGGGTGGCCACAGCTTAACTAGACTGGTGGGTTTTACACTAATTAGGCATCAGACTCCCTACTGCAGACAACTAAGTGGGGACATTAATGTACAGTATATTAGGTTAAGATTGCTCAGTGCTGTTGTTTCACCCTGTGGGTATGACATATTTAGCATATATCTACACTATACAGCAACACAAGATGTTCAAGAATTTTTTCTCAAAAGCCTCTCTTTAAAAAGCAAGCAGCATGGGAAGACTTCATTAGCAGTGAAAGCCTGGAATTAGCACAGCCACATTTGCACACTGCTGTTTCCGAGTTAAAAGGCCTTTCTAAGATTTATGTTACGGAATTAGTTGAAGTGCAGTGTGTTGCAGACACAGCTTCAAAGACAGCTTGGAGGTCTGAGACACACATCTAAGCCATGGTGGGAAACCAGCTCCAGTTTCTCTGCATGTCATTACTGAGCACATGAGTCCTGGGAGGAGGTGGCCTCCAGTATGTGGAGAATGGTGCCCTCTGCTCTGCACCCTAACATGGGTAGTATCCCCTCAGTCCTGAAATGCTGGTAGCAAGGAAAGGCCAAGGAAGAGAACTTAAGTGCACAGTTTTCGTCAGGTGCAGCCTGGTCCAATGCCAGGGCAGTGGAGTGTGTCAGCCTCATGTCTTCCACATTCCCAAACAATGGGACCCTCCAGCTGAGAAGATGGCAGTATTGCATTCTTTAAAGATTAGAAGGAAGACTGCCACTGATGTAAAATCCCTGCCTTTTCATCTTCCCTTGCCATTTCCCTCAAGCTTTGGAAGAAGCCACTTCATATTAGTTTTCCTGCCCTCTATGATGGAACAATAATAATTTCTTTATTTTGCAAAACATAGGGAGATTAGTGAATGCAAAACTGCAACAGATAGGTTAAAGGATTTCTTAGCAAAGAATTACTTCAAAGAAATCTCAGGCTACGGGTGCTTTCCACAAAAAGGCAATTATAAATTGAACTATGTATCTTTTATCTATAGTTTTTACCCAAACACTCAGGCAAGTACTGTTATGATATGAAGCTGGTAGTCCTTGATGCATATTGTAATGCAGACTGGTTTTCACCTACACTTACATATATTTATGTAGATATAATGGCCAATTCCTATAAGCTTTACTTTCTACTCCAATCATTGATAACTCTATAACAGAAAAGTCAATAACAATAGTATCAAATACATAGTGAATATCCCATTAGGAATACTTAGGATTTCAACCTGCTTCTACCCGATCTGTGCCCTGCTGACTGGCATTGCCCTCTATTTTGCAAAAAGTAAAGTACATAGATAAGCTTGTTATAAAGCAAGAAGTCCTAATGAATGTTTTTCTCCTGTTTCATGAAAAAGGTTATTTAGGAAAAAGAGGTGACTAATAGCAAATGTGTCATTTTGGAATGGAGCCAATTATAGCTCTTTTGAGGGGAGAAAAAAGTGATTTAAGCATGAAAAGTGTTAAATGTGAAACCATTATGACAAACTTTCCATGTGTAAAATCAAAACCTTGGACTCAGAATAAGAAACACCCTTCCAAAGGTCATTTTTAAATGAAATCTATAATATTTTACAAATATAAATCTAAATGGATTTCAGACAATGATTACAAAAATATTTTCTTTCATCACTAAGAGCAGCAGAAGAAATAGAAAATCATTTTAAATAGGAATAGCTAATGCTCTGAAGTCAGTTCAGCCCAAAACTTAGTTGTGAGTCCACTAGGATGAAAAGTATTACTAGAGGGAGAAGGAACATGACTTAAATTTAGATCTTAACCTTTGTTGAGTTCTTCAGATTTAGCTGTAAATCATCTGCCAAGCCATTTGCCAAAACCCTGCTGCAAGTTTGCTGAACAGAATTCTGTTGTCTTAAGGCTGTCAGTAAAGGAAAATGTTCAATAAGGACATACCCAGTGCCAGACTCCAGATGCTGCCAGAATGGAGCCTCTGAATCTGTGTTTGTGAGTCTGCATCTCTGCACTAGAGGACTCAAAAATTTATTTCTTTCTCTATTTCTAAATCTAACTTGCAAAAGAAGTGACTATGCACGAAGTATGGTGCGGGTTTAGGTGGTAGGATCAGTTCTCTACATTCACACGCTGTCTATTTGGAGGAACAGGTTACTGCACATTAACTGAGTGATGGCAGCTGTCCTCATGCCTGCTTTCAGCCCAGATCAACTGTAAAAAAAGACCAAGTAGTTTAGCCTGCAGTCTGAGTTAAGTCAGGCATAGATTTAAGGACCCTTCAGCCTCTTCAGCTGTCTGCCTGACTGCACACACAAAACAACATCCCATTCAACAGCTGCACACCTTCTTCATCCACTGTCTAGACCAGATTGTTGTTCATCCTTGCATTGTAATTTTCTATGGACTAAGACAAGCCTACAAACAGTTGTTATGGCTCAGCTGAAGTGTGAAAAAGTTTTACGCCACAATGACTGGATTGCCCATCTGAACTCTAATTCAAGACATGCTGCATTTGAAGTACCTGCTGCAGTCATCACCTCTTGGGAAAGTTTCTCTTGTACCATTTGCCAACAAATGTCTCTCAGTAAGTGTCTCCACTGCTGCAGACACTTCAGCTTAAGGATCTTCTTAGAACAATTACCAAAGAATTTGCTTCATTGACATAATGTAGAGTTCTTTAAATGGTGACTTCAGATACATGATCAATCTATGTACAGAGATGTCAAATAGTTAACTTCATCTTCATCAGTGAAGACTGCCATGTGCTTCTCAGTCAACTGCTCTTACAAGTTGGCCTCTTGCTCTGCCTTGGACAAAAGTGTGCGTATATTGTAGTTATATATATAGATATATGTATAAAAAATAGTCACTAATTTCGAATGTAGCACCTGAGCTTACTTCACAATTCATGTCACTTAACTGACCATTGGAGATAGCTGCAGGGGATGAAAACTACAGGTGTTTCCATTGCTCCTTTTAGGTAAACCCAGATTTTACTGGACTCATAATTCAGACTTTCTATCCACTCCTAACATTGAATAGTTTCTAGTAGCAGTGAATTTAAAATCTCTGTTTTCCAATCTAGTGCAAACATATCTACTCTTACTCCTTTCCATTTGAACTGTCCTTCAATGGTGTTGTGAAGAAAGCAAGATACAGCTTCCCTTCCTGTATTACAGAAAACAATCTCCTGTGAAACAAGATCTTCATGTGTACCAAATTCTGCCCACACACAAATCACAAACAGGCCACAAATCATTAGAGCACAAATCGTCAGTGATACCAAGTGGTATTCAGGTGTCTGCCATGGCTTTGAATTCTAAGTAGTAGGAAGGAAACCAAATAACCTTCCTCTTATTCCTGTGACTACACAGCAGAAAGAGGAAAAATCACCTTTGCAACACAGTTCAACACATTACAATATTTGAGAAGCAGCTTGTCCTCAGACACTCTGTAACAAGCCCCTTCTTACTAGAAGTAGTATTAGCAGTGTGCAGTGTGGCTCAGAGCTTGCAGGAAAAACATTTCTAAATTACCATGCATAGTGGTTCCCTTACTCTGCTGATTTAGCAGCTGATCAACCCAGTGTAGTCCCAGAACATTTCAGATAACTTCTCTGAACTTGTTT